AAAAAACAACATCTTTCTATTTTTATGGGAGATAACAGGAATTGAACCCAGGACTTTGTGCATGCTAAGCATGCACTCTACCACTGAGCTATAACCCTACCCCTTCTCGTTTCTTTTTGAGTTGTACCTCAGCTGACTTGTACATAAACACGTGTGTGTGCACACACAAAACCATAAGGGAATACACACTAACAACAATTCTGTCTGGTGAGATTAGAAGTGATTTTTTTATGGCCTTTATTTTCCCCCAAATTTTCTACAGAGTTTTACTGTCATAAACATAAAAAGAAAAAATGTAATATTACCAAGTTTTTGTTCTTGGTGGACAGTAACATTAATAAAAACATCCTACTGAGGGACAAAACTAAAATTTTTTTTAAATGACAAAACAAAAAACCCCATCTTAGCTTCAGGCTTCACAACATTATAGGAGCCACGGCATGCTATTCAGTAAGCCAAATCCAAAGCTCATTCGCCAAATACGTCGGGCAGGCCTGCCTGCTGGGGGCCAGCCAGGTGCTGGGACACCAAGAGGATACAGACGTCCCGCCCTCGAGCAGGGTGCACACTCCTGAGGGACAGGCAAGGACAACACCCAGCAGGGACGAGGCTGTGGAAGCACCTGCCCCTCTGATCCGGGGGAGGGAGGGAGTGGTGCAGGCCAGCTGAGAGATGGGCACTGGGCAGCCACTGGCAAGTTTTAGATGGGGAATGATGTGACCAAATTTGTGTTTTAGAAGAATCCTCCAACAGCAGAGGGGAGGGGAGGCAGCCTTTCAGGGAGGCAAGGGACGCCAGGTGGGAGATGGTGTGCACACAGGATACAGGGAAGGGAGGACATGCAAGGAACCTCTAGGGGTCAGAGCCAATAAAGTACGTGTGAGGGGAGGAGAGGAGGGAGCCAGAGGGATCCCGACATGACAGGAAAAGAGGAGAGGGAGCTGGTTCTGTGTGTTTAGTCGCGGGGGCTGAAAACAGAGCGTAAAGATGACCTGTCCTGGGTAAGCCCAGGAGGGTTTTTCTTTCACTGTCAAACCACGTTCCATCCCTAATCTTTGTACACTTACTCTCCTAAAATAGATGTTCCCTGCAGTGGGAAGTCCACACAAAGGGAATTTTGTTCATTCTTAAGTCTGCTTTGAACATGTGAAGAATGGACACCCTCTTCCATTGGACACTTTAACTTTGATGAATTGGTGGCAGGGACCACTCACCTCTTTTTGTGTCAACCGCAGAAATGGCCTGAATCAGAAGAGGCGCGTTGGACTCCGAGTACTCCACAAAGACCAGCAGCAGCTTCAGGGCTGTCTTCACCACCAGGCGGAACTGCACAGAGAAGAGAAAGCCAAAGTGGCGCTTCAGCCACGGCAGGAACGCCTCAAGGCTCCGTCCTAACAGGAGCTGGCATCCAGCGCTGGAAACGGCCCAGCCGCTCTTCTTAGCAATTAGCGGATTATCGGATGCCTCAGAAGGCAGGCACTGGTATTATCCCCATTGCACAGATCAGAAAACCAAGGCACAGAGTACCCCACCCAAGATCGCACAACTAGAGTCAGACCCAGAATTCGAACCCTTGGCCCCAGAGCTCACCCCAGTGGTCTCCTAACAAATGAGGTGGTCAGTTACTTCATTTTATCTGGAGTAGGTAATTTTTCTGGTGAGGAAGCAAGCAGAGCAGGTTAAATGACTTGTCCAAGGTCACAACAGCGAGCCCAGTAAGCAGGAACCTGAACCAAGTTCTGAAAATTGCCGCTTGGGTTCTGGCAGTCCTGGGCCCAGGGCACCGCACTCGTGAGGAACCGTATGCAGCCCAGGAGACCCCTCCTTCCACAGGCCACAGGTCACTTACCCAGAGAAATTCCCCAATCTCCCAACTGAAGCTGCCACAGATCCTAACTCAGTTCAGCCAGCCAGGGGTTGCAGGGACCGGCAGTCTTGGGGGTTTCCAGGTCAGCTCTCCACCCATTTCCCCAGGTGCTGCTGCTGCAACCTGCACCCACAATCTCCTTTCCTGCACCCCACTTCTTTTCAAGAACCCCCTCCTCAAGGAACTCACACACCAGCCACCTCCTGGAAACAGGTTCGATTCTTATGTCCCAGAAACAGCAAACCTGCCTCCTCGGGCTGCTCCTCCCCTGAAAGCAGGTGGGTGGGCAGTGTCCCATCACCCCCTGGGGCAGAAAGCACCTTCAAGGGGAGAGGGGCTGATCTGCGTCGTGTCTGCAGGGCCCGGGACTACACTTGGCAGACAGTGGGCTCAGTGATGTCTGCTCACTGAATGAATGAAAACCCCAGTGACCAGCCCATCAACCACGTCCCCTCACCTCCGTCATCGGGGCTGGGGAGAATCGGCCCCAGGCTCTCCATTTGCTCTGCAGCCAAGAAACACCCAGTGCCTCCTGTAGGCACCTGCTCACATCAAAATACTAGGGACACACATGACCTTCCAGGGGACTTGGAGCATCCCGCCCACCACAGGAAACAGTGTAAAACTACACCCACCCAAGTCATTTCTCCAATTCACACAACCGCCTCTGCCCCTTGGCCCTTCTCCTCTGTCACACTTCCCTAGTAAACCATATGTCTCTTCCTTGACTCCACATCTCTCTCCAGCCTGTGCTGTGGTTCTCAGCTCCTCTTTCTAGGAAAACACAAAAGAGCTGCCACACTCCCCATCTCCACCTCCCACCATCTCCTCCACCCAGTGTGGTCGGGCTTCCATCACCACCATGCAAATTCAGTTCCTCTCGTCAAGGCTGCCGATGCTTCCATGTTGTCCAATGCTTACTTTTCTACATTCGTTTTAGCTCAACTCTCAGCAGTACGTGACACAATTAATCGCTCCCTCCCGAAACAATTTCCTTCTGCCATGGCCTTCCACTGTCTCCTACCTGAGTGGCTACTCTTGCTGGCTCCTTCTAAGGAGCTCGACCTCTAGGTGTGGGACGGCCTCGGTGTTCACGCCTGTCCCTGCTCCCTTCCCACACGCTCTCTCTAGATGCACTCATCCAGGCGCTGAGTTTTAAAACCCATCTGTGGCTCAATGCTCTGCAGGCCTGGCCCCTGGACATCACCACTCAAATGCTCACAGGCACCTCAAATTCAACGTGGCCAGAAGAGAACTCGTGATCTGCCCTCATGCTCATTCCAGCCTGGCGACCACTTCCACAGTCCCCATCTCAGGACAAGGCCCACCATCCACCGCGTGCACATGGGAGTCCCCCTGCCCTTTCCCACCCAACCCCACCGTGACTCCGTCTGCCGGGCTGTAGGAGCTGTGCCTGCCCTGACTCCATCCACGTCGCTGTCTCCCTGTTCGCCCCAGACCACCGTGGGAGCCTCCCAAGTACTTCTGGGCTTGTCAACCTGAAGTCCACTCTCCAAATCACAGCCAGAGAGTGACCCTGGCACTTGGAACCCGCCACTCACTCTGCGTCCCATCGGGGTGGGAGCCACTCCTGCAGGCCTGGCTGAGCTCTCGGACTCTACCCAGCTGCTCCCACCACCTGCCTTTCCTTCGTCATGTGACTACACGTGTGTCACATCCTGAAGCCTGTACATGACTTGGAGACTTCTTGTTGGCTAGTCCCTCACCGGTCACCGCAGGTCTGGCCTTTCCTTACCTTTCAGATCAGAGAAATGTCCCCTCCTGGCCATTTCATCTAAAGAAGCCCCTGGACCACTCACATCATCCTGTTTTTATTTCCTTCACATCCTTTATCGGGACCTGAAACTGACATACGTGTTTGTCCTCTGTCACCCCCACCCCCGACCAGAACGTAAGCTACCTGGTGGCAGAGACGCGGTTTTCTGACACACAGGAAACAGGATCTGCCTCTGAGGAGCTGCTGGGTCAGCCCCACACGTGGAGGGCAGGCCAGTGGGGCGCCTTGCATGGGGGCTTGTCGTGCCAGTGCAGCCCCTTACGTGTGTGGACCAAGCCCCCCCACCCCCGGGTCCGCCGCCGCCACGCCCCACTCCACCCCGGGCCTCAGCCAGGCCAGGGCGGCCACAGCTGCTCGGAGGCCACGCGGGGCCTCGGGCTTCTCATGGTGGCGTCCTTGTCACAGAGGGAGAGCTGCCTTCCTCCGAGGGCTTTGAGCTCTTGAGCACGTTCACCTTGACAACCCGAGTCCCAAATTCGGTCCTCCACTCTCCCTAACTGGGAACGGACTGAAGTCCAGAGTATTCTTCTCAACAACCGCGAGGCTGGGGGGCGCATGGCACAGTGAACTGTGCTATCTTTGTACACTCAGAGCTGAAAACATATTTTCAAGTAAATAAAACAACCCAGCAAGTCTAGGCTTGACGACCTCCTCAGCGGGTGGACTGTTATTATGTGGTTTAAGCCTCCTCAGTGCCTTCGTGGGGAAGAACCTGGCAGGTGCCCAGCCCACCCCCTTCCCCACCCGCGGGTCTCAGCAGGGCCCCCACATGCCCGGCTCATCCAGGTTCCCTCTGGGCATCTTTGTGGTCCCAGGGACCCAGAATCCCCCAGCCACTCTCTCCCTGACGAGCCTCTCTAGGGAAGAAACCACTATTTTCTCACAAAATCTTCTTTTTCTGTTCGTCTCAACATGCCTGTTCATGTTGTCTGCTCCTTTGCTATCAAGGCTCTGCTTACAGAGATCTTTTGGCACTGAAATTATGTTCTTTTTAAAAAAATCCCTAAACTCTTCTGTTTCTTGATTTTAGGTTTCTATGAATTTGGCTGCTACTGAGTCTAAGTTTGCATTTATGTATATTTGGAAGCCTTTCTATGTAAAATTAATCACAGGTAGCTAAAGTACTTTAGAAAAAAAGAGCATTAGCTCGTTAATTTTATGGAAATGAACAGTACTAATTGCAAGCATGCCCTAACTAATCATCAAAATACATCCAGCAGGACTCCGCCTCGGAAATGCCTCAGTTAATGTTAATGACTGCATAGACTTGAAAGTAATAAAAGTACCTGACTTCAGGAGTTCTACATCAAGCCCTCATTTATCCAGAAACCACTTATTCTGATGCCCTCAAGTATCTGGAATGCTATCAGAAACCTCCAGAGCCTTGGAGCAGCCACAGTGGAGGTCACGCATCCACTCCTCCAAGTTCGAACACGCTGCTCCAGCTCAAGGCTCTTGAAAATCCACACTGGGTGCCACTGAGCTTACTTTGGACACATTCTGACAGGAGTGGAGGCCATGGAGATCCCCAGCCCACATCTGCGGAGAAGAGGCAAACCAGAGGCCAGTGGTAGAGGAGGGGAGGCAGGCCCACCGGGGCAGCAGGAGGGAGGATTGCGACGGAGGAGGGTGGGGACAAGAGGACACACGCTACTGCGCGGCTCAGACACCGAGGCTTCTCTAAGAACTGTGGCAGCGAAAGCCAAGATTTTCAGCTCTGCATGTTCTGATGAGGGGTCTCATTGCAAGGACTCACAGGCTCACACACCTGCCTATCCCTCTAGCACCGGGGGAAAATCAGTAAGAACTCATTCTCATTCTTCTGGTGCATCAATCGCTTGGGAAGATAAAGCAACCAGTCTCAAAAGAGTTAAACAGGGCAACACGGAGTCAGCCTCCGAGGCCGTGGTTCGAAGACAAACGACACACAGGGGGAGCGAATGCCCCAAGTCCGGAGGCTCTGAGTGGCCAAGTGCTGAGCCTACGGGGGAACAAATTCAGCTCCTGGAGAGGGGTGCGCTGGCTGAGCCCACATGGGGCCCCTCCCAGTCCCAAGAGGCTCTGCTGCTTCTTTCAACGTCCTGAGTGCCTTCCAGATGCCCAGCACCCAGCGAGGGTCCGTGAGGGGGTAAGCAAGCCCTGCCTTGTGGTGCAGAGAGGACCCGGAACACCTCCACACCTGATACCTGAGGGTGGTGCCCGTGTGGGAGGCCCTCAGAGCCTGGCTGCTGAGGACAGACGGCACTTCCCAGAGCAGAGCCCGTCTGGAGGGGAGGAGAGTCAGTGGGACAGGATCAGAGCTGGCTGGGCCACCCAGCCTCCTAGGCCTCCAGGGAGCAGGAGGGCCCTGGGAAAATCTTTGGGTTCCTGACTACATGAATAAGCCCACCTTTTTAGGGGTAGAAGAAACACACTGGGAGTCTAGATTCAGCCTTTGGGATACACATTACCTACTTTTTATATATAGTCGACCCTTGAATAACACATGAGTCTACTTATATACAGATTTTTCTTTGAAAGTAAGTAACGCCATTTGCAGCAACATGGATGGGCCCAGAGATGAATATACTGAGTGAAGTCAGTCAGACAGAGAAAGACAAATATCATATGATATTACTCATATTTGGAATCTAAAAAAAAAAGATACAAATTCTATTTACA